AACAAATTGCATGGGTTAAAATTTTGTATTCCCTCCTGTTAATTTTTGTGTTCCCAGTACGTTCTCTCCTGTTCATTCCATATGGTAGATTCTTCAATGAGGCCCGAATTGCCGGAACTATTATGTTAGTTACATAGGTGCCCTCATTTAGCGATTCTGTGAACTAGGGTCCAAATGCCAGATTCTTCCAAGAGTCGCTTCTAATAAACTGGATGTTATATTATTAAGTAAAGGAAAACAATGCTAATTTAAAAATTACGGTGTGCTCACAATGTTTCTAGAATCCCTACTGTAACATTTGCAAGCTGTTCAGCCAGCTCTTTCCATAACCCATCATGCGAAAGTCCTTGTGGTAAGTTGTCGACATCACGCACAATAAAGCTTCTCACAAATTCATTACATTTATTTTGTACAACTGATGGAAGGAAGTTAGGCACCATCTTCCGCACTGGTTTCTAATAATAGATTGAATTAGATCACTATTCACCTATTGAGCATTCTAATCAGTACTTTGAAATAATCCTGTAAATTTTTCGGTAATTGTTGCACCAGCACTGAATCGTCACTAATAACCTGACTAGCCAAAGGATCCTTCCAGGTTAATTCAGAAATGATCACCTTTTCTACCCCAGAGTATAAATGCTGGTAAAGCGCTGACATGTTTTTCTTGAGTTTCCCCTTCAAACTATTTATGTTCTTTTGGATTTTTTCTGAATTAAAAGGCACCTCCTCATTCGTTTTCACAGCTCCAATGGCCCACAAACTATAAACAGCCTTATAAGAAATTTCGAACTAATGCAGAAATACTATCGGTTAGTTTATATCCAATTATTAGTCGTGTGACATGTCCTAAAAATCAAGGGGAAGTTTATTTTCCGAAAAATTTCCAGTGATCTACACAATTTTTTATTAATAAAATTTCGAATTGAATGTCTTCATACCCTCGTTTGATACCCTTGCTGTGTAGCAATTGCCACCAAATTTGATATATAACTTCTTTGTCATATGTATCTGCTTCAAAAAAATTTTTGAAGCAAGTTGTTAATAAAACCGAAAATAATCTCAGCCTTAAAGTCAAATTTTGATTTTATATTCATATATGTAGAAATTTGTTAGCACGTCCCAATTGCAAGCAAAGGTAAATTAAATTACATTATTATTATTATTATTGTATAAATATTTATAGAATCATGTTCACTTTGCTTCCTAAGGTGTATGTCTTTTATACCATCATTTATTTTAAACAAATATTAATATACAATGATTAAAAGAGTATAGTTATGGAAACCAAACATTTTATAGTAAAACTTTATTAATTATATTATTAATTATTAATTCCTTTTTTTAGATGTATTAATCAGAAGTGTTTCGCGACAATTAAATTAGTTATTATTATAAAAACAATGGTTTATTGTTACGCGACTATCAAAGTAATAATTTGACATCTATTGTTACGCGACCATCAAAATATTATTATTATTATCTTCATTACAATTAATGGTGCAAGTAGTGGCATTAGCAGAGTCTGATTTATTATTATTAATTTTTGTTTCTCATATTTTTATTTGATTTTTACAATTTACAAATCTAATATTAATACTAATAATATCTATTTAAATTTATTAGTGAAAATGAAGATGAAGATTATTATAAACTTTTTCATACACAATAAAAAAATTTTTCTTTTTGCTCAAATAATTAAAATTCACCTTTGAACAATTTAATAATAATAATAGCACCTGGCACATACAATAACATGGTCTGTCAAGCAAAAATTTCAATAATTATTGACTATAAGAATTAATAATATTAGATTTTATTGATATATATTAACATTTAAAAATTTTTGTCCAAATGCATCCATTAGGTTCTTGCGAGA